CATTTCAGCAGAGGGAAGCAGGCAGGAAACTCCACGGTAGCCCGGTGTGCCTGGGTGCAGAAGCATCCCACCTCTCTGACCGCGCTGTTCAGGGCGGGAGGTGCCAACCACCTTTCAACACTTACCTTGATGGCCGGTTCCCTCGGTGCCGAGCACCTGCAGCTCCGACGCGCTGCAATGGGTAAGGGCAAGGCAGCCTTCTCCATCTGTGTTAGTGCTACCATCCCCGACCCATTCCCGTGCGCATAGACTTGTTTCTCCTGGCTGCTCTAGCTCAGCGTACCTTGGTTCCCTTCCTTAAAGGGGAAAAAAAACCCAACTCCACAGAAAAATTCTGTCAAAGGATGCAAGTGATGAAAAAGCCAAGCAGTAAAAACTCAGAGAGCCAAGGAATGTGAATGCCACAGTGGTGCACTGACACTGTTGTGTACCTGTTGCGTACACAGTGGTTCTTCTTCACAACTCACTCAGGATTTTCTTCTCCTGAATCTCAAAGTCAGGTTGAGCGGCAAGAAAGCAGTGCTGCAGGTATTCACTTCTGGATCCTGGAGAACGGTCTGCTCCGACGACTGGAAGGCAGAGTATGGAAATACTACCTGCAAGCACCTGGGTTTCTCAAGGTATGAACACAAAATGGAAGAAACTTTATTCGGCATTTTGAACAGACTCTGAGGTTTTCAATCATTCTAATGAAACCTTGTATTAGTCTGTGGTTTAAAAGAAAAAAGGACTTAACAATCCACCTTTGTGAATGATATGGTTGAGGAGTTTTAGGATGATGTGGGAAATAATCCTGAATACTTGTGCACTGCAAATACCATTTATTACTGCTATAAATCCTGGATGATGGCTAAATACAATGGTTTGGTTAAATCTTCCCTATGGGGTGCAGGTGCCTGTATCCTACTTGTCTTTCTAGTACCTTACAGCCTGTCAGAGAAGCACTAAAAAACGTATGAGCATTTTCCATTTCTTCTACTTCCTCTGTAGGAAAATTGTATATATGATTCACATCATGACATCTGTTAGGAGTTAAGGTCCACCTCACAATTAGAGAAGAACCTGGCCAGGCTGTTCTTACTGGATTAACCCCATTCCTGAAAAAGCACAATTTCTTTCACAAACTTTCACAACTGAGAAAGGGTTTGAAGTTGTGACTTGTAATGATGCTCTGTTATTTCTTACAGTGGTGTCATTCTGATTTCTGCACATTATAGTTAGCAATATAAAGCTGCTTTGAATAAAGTCTTCTTGCCTTTAGGATAAAATACATCTTAATTGTTCAACAAAAAAGTCAGGAAAAAATTACAAACTATTCATCCTCTCTGCTGCAAAATATATCTCTAGAAAAAGGAGACAATGAACTTCTTAGTGCTTCAGGAAATGTGCCAACCAGTTACAATAAAAGGTTTCTTGCAATGTTAGAATTAAAATTTACTTTCTCTGCCAGTTAAATGCCTCTCAGCGTGTGTGACTTCCACACATGATTATGGCAAAAATACGCGCATGCTATAAGAAGTGTTTCCTGGGGAGGATATGATTACTTTATCAAGTGTCAGAATCTGATTATTGTCGTTGCTACACTGGGTTTTCATCAGCAGAACCACTGAATTATTTAAACAGATTACTGAAATGCTGTCTGAGGAAGCTGTATTTATGGCTTATTTGCAGTTACGTGAGTTCAGGTTACCTGCCTGTGGCTGCAGTCGAAAAACAGTTTCAAAGACATTTCGTATCCCTCGGCCACTGGTTATCAGTGGATCAAGTGACGTCCCTGCACAATGCAACAAACCTCAGGTACGCCTCAGCTTAGTCATCCTGACAGAAAGAGAGTAATCAACAGAAGGAGAATTACTAATAGTCTGAGATTGTTGCCTGTTTTTTCATGCATCTGGTGCTTCATAAGTGGTTGGTGTTGTTATGCATCATAGACCAAGGTCCAGTAGCAGTCTTGTTGGAATATGAATTAGGAGCCTGAACCAAGGCTCGTTAAAATCAACACAGGCTTTAAAACGGGCTATTTGAAAAGCCTATTTGTCCCACGATCCCTTTTTTGCAAATGGATAGACACCAGGCACTTATCTTTTCCTGTTGTGAAGCAGTTTGTTTCAGTTTACAGATCCCTAGATAGTTCCCCGTGGGCTTATGAACCTTTTATGGTCCATTTCTTCCTCTTGACAATTGCTTGTTTTTCTTAGTTACCTTTCACTGAGAAGCAAGCTATGGACCCAAGGAGACTACAGATCACATGTTGAAAACGGCGGATGAGCCTCCCCTCACAGAAGAGTGAACCACTCTTCAGCGGGGCAGCATACGGTCTGCAGGCTCCCTGCGGTGCCTGAGCTCCTAACTTAAGCATTTCACCTAAATGCCCTAAGTAGATTGGATGAGTACATGACTTTGTACCTCTTTCAGTATATGAATTACCTACATTTATGTGCACAGAGCTGTACAGGAAGATGACACAACATTGAAAAAAACCTCCAGTATTTGTGAATTGGAACTAATACTGCACTGTCTTTTCATCTTAGAGAGGAATGCACTTCTGGCAATGTGATCATCCTAAAATGTCTGGGTAAGGATCAGGAAAAGTAAAAATAAAATCAGAAACTGTCCTTCTTCATCCACTACATGGCAAGAGTTGGGAGGAATTGTGTACTCAGGGCATACTATACCATCAGTTTATCTCACCAAAGGAAAATTATATTACTTACATGAAATTTAAAAGAATTTCAGAAAGTGAGAATAGGCTGGCAGGACAGATAGGGAGCATTAGGTAGCAGGAGTGCTTCAGTGAGAATCACAGCAGGAAGTAAACGTTTAAGGATTATGAGTTGAGTCCATGGACTGGTACTGTAATTCCAACCCGGTGCCATCTTGGCAGGGAAAGGGAAATTCTGTCTTAACATTAGAGCTTTCATCCCAGACCTCTCCATGGCAGCTAGTTTTCAGATTGGGAGACTGAAAAGTCAAAAAAGAACAGCAAAATAATCACCAGGGGAGAGGAGGTGCTCCAGCCTGCCTATGTGGGCCCCTGGGACCTGGTGCATTTAAGGACGGTGGGTTTTACAGCTCAGCTGACCACTACGTCTCCAGGGGAGAAGACGTGAGCCCCGCAGCCCCCATACCGCTGCCAGGCACGATGCTGCAGGGATGGGAGGGAGGAGGAGAAACCTCTGGGGACTGCCACAGCCTGAGATGTGGGCCATGGGGATGGGGACGGTCCTGCTGCAGAGACCTTCCAGCCTCAGCAAGGTTGGGAGTAGAGGGGCTGAAGGTGACCAAAAACATGCCTGCATTTCCTTCGCGGACGGTAACCTTTGCTTTCTGGCAGTGTGCGGGACACGGGCCAGCTATGGGCCACGGATCGTGGGGGGCAACGCGTCCTCCCTCCGGCAGTGGCCCTGGCAGGTCAGCCTGCAGTTCCATGGGCACCACCTCTGCGGAGGGTCCATCATCACCCCACGCTGGATCATCACGGCCGCCCACTGTGTCTATGAGTAAGTCCCTAAATTGCCTTGCTCGGGGTGTCCCACTGAACCCTCTTGCAGCAGGTCTGTGCACGGGGCCACTGCAGAGGAGGACTAACGCACCGTGCTTTCTCTTAAAAATAAACTGCAGGTGAGATTGGGTTATCCTTATTTCATGGGCTTGCTCCATAACATTTAAACTCTCTCTCTCTCCCCTTGCATGAGTACGAGCCTTTACTGAAAAAAAGTCTCCCCAAGAATTGGTCCAAATCAGGGTCCCCAGTTGTCAGATATTCCAGGCACTCCCAGCTTCCTGGGAAATCAGCTGAAAACAACATTTAAGTGCTAGATTTTAGGTATCCCAATCTGCATTTTCTATACATTGCATGTGAGTTAACAGCTCGGTAGGAATTTGTACTTGGCTGCCCTGGTACTCTGGAGCTCCCAAATAAATTACTCCAAAATAAATAATTTTCAAGTTGACAGGATCAATCAGTGGTAGTTAGTGAGCTGTACTGTGCTTAGTGCCCTTTACCACATACCCACTGCTCCTTTTTATGCTGTTGGAAGTAGTCTTTGAGTTGTAAATAGATGCTAAACAGTTACTCCTCTTTGTGTAATTATAAACATAGCCCTGTCTCTCATTTATAATGAGTTGTCTGGTTTTGCAGTCTTGTTTGTTGCTAATAGTGCAGGAGAGCTCTTCTCACTCTTACAAACTCCAGGCCACTTTCACCAAAGGCATTTAGACAGCTAAAACGGGATTTGTCTGACCACTCTCAGGCACCCACAACACAGATGCCTGCTTCTAAGCAAGACCTGTAGGACACTTTTATACCCTGTAGGGAGAAGAGATGGGACAGACAAATCCCACTTCTAGATCCTATTTAGAGCCATAAAAATAATTACTTGGGAATTAAGCATTTTAGGGCTTTTGTCCTTAGCTCTGTCCTGCACAACCAAGCTGGTTGTGGTGTTCAAAGGCTGTTGGGGCTGGGAGCTGGCAACACAGCTCACATCCCTGGAGCCTTTTCCCAGCACCACCGCTAACCCGCTGCTAGCCCGGTGGGGTGAAGCCAAGAGAAGAGGAGCTGCTGGTGTGCTGGAGGCTGAAAGATGTGGTTGCTCATGAACTGGGGGCTGAAGCACCTTCCAGAAGGAAAACCTCTCCCTTGCAAACGCCTTGCCACAAGTGCCTCTTGAGCTAGCCAGATGTGCCAGATGTGCCAGGCAGCAGCATCGACTGCTGCAGGGTGACATAGGAGGACAGGCCAATGCAAAACTCACGTATTTGTAGAAAGCTGCACAGATAATACACCAGTGACCCAGTGTGTTGCTAAGGTTAATCACCCTTTCTATATTTTTTTAAATTAGATGCAAAACATAGATGATATTGATAGGTAGATAAGCAAGTACAGCAGACTGTAGCTATTTGCCTGTAGAGTTTTGTGTGGTTCATAAGCTCAGAAGACAATTAGAAAACCTGAGGATTTTCTTGAAGGTTTTTCACTCTCTCCTAACTCTTTGTTTCAGCCTGTACTTGCCGAGCTCATGGAGCGTGCAGGTTGGTTTTGTGACACAGCACGACACCCAGGTTCACCCATATTCAGTGGAAAAAATTATATACCATCGAAATTATAAACCCAAGACAATGGGAAATGATATAGCACTGATGAAACTGGCAGCACCGCTTGCTCTCAACGGTAACTCTTTCTGTTAACTCTCACTTGATGTTCTCACCTTTCTAGCTAAAAGCGAGAAGGGTCTTTCCGAGTATGGATAGGGAAATTTCTGTGGGCATCCTATGCCTGGCCCAGGACAGTTGAGTGGGTCGCCGCCACCTCTGAAAGCAATGAGAGACGTGCAGCGTAGGCGCAGTCAGCCTGCTGCTGTGATGGCAAGGCGGCCATCCCCGCTCAGACTCCACCGGCAGAAACCCACTCGGCCGCGCTATCAGGAACTCCTCTGCACTCGATACCCAGGCACAGAGAGCACCAACGTGGTCGCAGGTTCTGCAAAATGTTCCCCGTCCGTTCTGGTATTGGCTTACCGAAGGCTTTTAATAAAAGGCAAACATTAACTTTATTCTTTCTAAATATTTTTCCTATCTAAAATAAATGCCCCACCTCATTTTACTTGGAGGTCATGGAGATTTTTATCATGTACTTTCTGTGAGTACAGGGAGACGCAGCAGCGTCCAAAGCTCAAAATCAAGCTTAAATTTAAAAGAGAAGAAAAGGCAGTTCAAATATAATGATGCTTTTAATTTAAAGCTACTTTTATTTTCTTAGCAGGATGCTACCTACAGCTGGCACAGCTAGTGAATTGAAATAATATATAATAATATTATATTAATTTAAATGATCACCTGTCAATACGTCTGAATCACTGTGAGACCTCTGCAAAGGGGAGATGGCTCTCTCTGACACACCTAGATTGTCAGTTCCTGAATCAATTCTCTTGAAATACTTCAAACCACTTTGAATAAAAACTAAGCTCGATTCTGTTCTTTTTTATGCCACAGCTAGTGCTGTTTTCTTTTGCTCAGGAATAAGTTTGTGAGGCTGTCAAGAACGGTAACGGCTCCACAACCGAGCCCGACACCCGCCGTGCCCCGGGGGGCTCGGGGCAGCCCGGCGGACCG